CAGCTTACTGTGACAGCAGCCTGGGAGATTCTCAGCAAAGCACCCAAATGACACAGAGGTGGGGAGGATGGGCCCCTGGTCTTGTTGCGCCCTCTGTTGGTTGGCAGCTGTATGTACGGTATATAACGTTTTTCAGTCCTTGCATCGGTCGGTGGACATTTCGGTTCCTCCCACATTTCGGTACTGTGAAGGGTGCCACAGTGAACATGGGCCTGCACATAGCTCTCTGACGTCCTCATTTCGTTTCGTTTGGGCAGACACCCCAAAGTGGGGTTGGTGGCTATATGATGACAATTTAATTTTCTGTGGGTCCTCCACCCCCTTCAGCGGTTCTCGAAGGCTCCCTGCAGTGATCTGAGGCCTGGCCTGGGATTCTTGCCCCTACGCCTCCTGGCTTCCCACCTGGGGATCTACCCCCCCACCGTGGCTTCTCCTCGCCCCGAATCCTCACCTCTGGCCCCGTTTCTTTGGCTTTGACCTTTTTCTCCTTCCCCAGCACTCAGCCTCTCCCCTGCCGGCATTGCCTTCGGCGACCCTGTCACTCCCATTCCCATGTTCCACGTGCTGTCCCTTGAGCACCACCGAAACCCACCCGTGGGCATGCCGGCAGCATGTGCCTCCTCGAACGTCTGCAGCGTATTCTGTGCTGCTCTTCCCAGCCAATCCGTGAATGGAGAGGGGCCTAAAAGACCATCACAAGCTCCAGGACACGGGGCTGTGCCCTTGGCCAGGGGGCCATGCGCTCCACGGAGGGGCTGGAGCCCACTGTGCACTCAGGAGGGCGGTGAACGAGACCCTGGGAAGGCAGGCTGGGCTCAGACAGGCCAGGGCTGGACCCCCAGGGCAAGGAGGCCAGAATGGAGTCACTGAACCACTGTGGCATCCACGATGTCAGAGCACCAACGATTCCTTTGGACACCTGTCCACCAGATCTCTGGGACTGTGGCCAAGGCCACGTCACTAGGACCACACCCCTATTCTTGGTCTCAGCTGATGGCCAGCTGTTGACTCTAGGCCTGGATCATTAGCCCACTAGGGTGTATAAGGTGCACCCCTTCCCACCCAGTTACCCACCCCTCCCTCCTCCCCAGGTGTTAAATTCAAGAAGAGAGTCTTAGAGTTGAAGGAACCTTCTAATATCAGAAAGCAAGAGACTTCGGGAGAGAGTCTGTGGGCTAAGTGAGGGAGCTGAAAGAATACAGCTGCAGTGATTGGCTGATGCTGGATTCTTTGGGGCAGCGGGCCCTGTGCCCCTCCTGTCATACTTAACAACAGCCTCTTTCTGGCTGGAGGGAAGGACCAACAAGGCGCATGGCCCAAAGCAGGAGTTCCGGGTTCTAGAAGAGCAGGGGTGTGTGTGTGTGTGTGTGTGTGTGTGCGCGCGCGTGGTGTCTGTGTGCACAGCATCCAGCGGGGCCCCAGCCTGAGAGATTCAGACAGAAGGCTCTGCCCCACTGTCCTGGACGCTCCTGCTCACCAGCCCCCTCACCATCCCAGGCGCTTGGATTTGCACCTCCTCCCGCCCCTCCATCAACTCCCGACTCCTCCCCACCTCCCCTGGCTTCGTTCTCCCTTTTCTGAAAGATGCACAAGCGTCGCACTTTGGTTTTGTCGCTCCTGCTGGTGCCTCCTCAGATTGGCCCATTCTCCCCACTTATGCTGAGAAAAGAGCCCGCATAGATGATTGCTCCTCCTTTTATTTCTCCCTGGGCTTCCGGGGGGCGGCGTGCTTGCCTGGGATGCTGAGTGTCGCTGGGAGCGGCGGAGAACGAACGGAGGTGCTGACAGCTCATGTTGGGTGTTTACTACGCTGTGAGTTTATGACAGCCTTGTTTCCATACTGACAGCGAGCGCCATATGGAGAGGGAAAAATGCTGTCAGATGAGCCCTCAGGCAATCACAACACAGTACATGAAGCCTCATAATTGCTTTCGGAGGAGCGGGGGCGGGGGTTGCTTCAGCCACATCAGCAGCGCGGCGCGCGGTGCCAGGATGGAGTAAAGCGGGAGTTTGACAGCAGGTGCTTCCCTCTCCTGTGTCCGGGCCGGGGAAGCTCCGCTGATGGGGAAGGGCAGGGGGCATTTGCTTTCCTCACCTGTGGGCGTGGGCGTGTGGGCGGCAGGGAGCAGGCAGGCCGTGCCCGCAGGGCGGTGTGCTCACAGGTGCAGCCCAGACCTGCCACCCTCCAGGCCTCCTTCCAGACTCCCACTGTGGCTGAGGAGGACACTCATCTGACCTGACATTTTATTACTGTCACCCGGGATCTTGTCAGCTCACCTCCCCCCCCCCCCCCATCCCCCACACACACTCCTTTCCAACAGAATCCAAGATCCCTGAGGCCTGGACCACATCCCATCCTACAAAACCGCAGGGCTGTGGGTTGTTTGTGAGCCGTCTGTGCATGGAGAGGTGGACTGGATTAAGGGGATAGCTCAAGGCTAGTTTCAGCCCCCAAACCACTCAAGGAGGGGCCCCCACTGATCAGAGTGCCCACTTGTGAGAATGGGAAATGTGGGAGTGGCTTCTTGTCCAGCAGAATAGCTAGAGCTGTGAGCTCCTGCAAAACCAGTCCCCGCCCTCAGGCAGTTTCCCGGGAGAGAGCTGGGCTGTGAGACTCTGGCCTGGAGACCTAGTCACTTGCTCCTTCAGTTGCAAGAGTCAAACCCAACACCAACTGGCCTCAGCACCGACTCTGGGGTGAGGACCCTGCGGGCACCGCTGGCCAGGCAGGCTGGCTGGCTCGGGCCCCTGTGCTGTTTGGTCACCAGGTTCCCACTTCCCTCGGCTCTCCCCCCGGTGCTGGCTTCGTTCTCCTGGGCTCACTGCCTGCTGGAGGGACAGTTGTGGCAGCTCAGGGGTGGCCAGTTCCTCAGCCTTGTCACCCAGAGAAGAGCAAGTACCTAGCAAAGTTCTAACAAAAACCCTGGAAGAGTCCGAGGCCCACTCAGGTCAGGGAACCTATCGTTGTGGCCATGGGAACGGGGCTCTGATTGGTTAGGGATGGCTGGGTTCTTACAGACCGGGAGAGAAGAGTCCCCAGAGCAGTGGTCGGCAAACTGCGGCTCTGTTGACTAATGAGTTTGCCGACCCGTAGGGGTGTCGAACTCAATCAGAGAAGGGGCCAAAATCTAAAATCCAGCCTAAATCGCGGGCCGAATGGTTTACTGAACAGTCATAAACTGACATTGTGATGGAAACGCAGCGGAGTGCAGTGATGACAGCGCGTTGCGGGCCACATTGCAAGGCCTGGCGGGACGGATTTGGCCCGCAGGCCTTGTGTTTGACACATGTGGTGTAAGGCATTACCCTTACCCAGGAAGTTTTGGCTTCAGGTTAAAGACATTAGTACATTATCACAATGTTTTTTTTAAGTGTTTTTCCCTAAGGCAGTGGTCGGCAAACTCAGTCAACAGAGCAGCAAACCGCAGCTCGTGAGACACATGTGGCTCAAGAGCCACAGTTTGCCGACCACTGCCCTAGAGGAAGGGAGATGGCGCAGACTGAGAGTCCACACCCATGATGACAACAGGTGGTTTGTTAAGCATTTGCTATGTGCCAGGCTCTGGTCTGAGTCCTTTCTACGTGTTGTCTCATTCAGGCCTCGTGATAGTCCCAGGAGCTGGGTCCCATTGCCGTTTCCAGTTTTCGGATGAGGAAACCTAGGGATAACTGTGTCCAGTGAGTTGTCACATGGGCAGAACGTGGTGAGGCTGGGATTTGAACCCAGGCGGTATAGCTCCATAACCCAGGCTCACAGCCCCCTACTCCCGACCTGCCCGTGGCTCCGTTCTTGGTGCATGGACACGATGGCCGTATTGGTATCTCCCGTTGTGGTCCCCATCTCCAGAGAAACACCGCGTCCTGGCTCCTCCTCGGAGGCAAGGACAGTCGCCCTCCTGTCCAGGCAGCTCCTGACCCAGGTCTGACTCAGCCCCCATGAAGTCTCCGGACCGTCTCTGCACAGCTGCAGGGTCAGAGGCAAACTCACGGCGCTCGAGGAGGCTCACGGCCACGGCCTCGGCCCTTGAGAAAGCCTCTGGTAGCCACTGCAGGAAGAGGCGAGAAGGGACCCCCCCCTCCCCACCCCCAACCTCCATCTGACGTCCCACGTGGGCTTTCATTTTCCAGAGGAGCCTGGGGCCCAGAAAGGACACGCGAGCTTCCTGAGGGCACACAGCACGTCCGTGGCGAGGCCTCTGGCGGCCACTGAGCGGCTGAGGGCTGGCCACGGCCACTTCTGTCCCTGGGCCTCTAGCGCCTCCGGGGGCAAAAGCAGGCTTTTCGTAATTCGAAGCATCCCAGACTGGCTTTGTTCCAGTTGGACAAGAATGAAAGTTTTTTGTTTGTTTTTTACTGTATTCATTAGGATGCTTTGAATTACAAGTAATTAACTCTCCCCCCCCCCCCCCCCCACAAGCAAGGCTCTTTATTAAGTGTTTCAGATATGGTTGGGCTGCAGGCGGGGTTTGATCCAGAGACTCATGGCCCCACCAGGCCCCACGTCTACTTGTAATCCCCCCAGTTCTGGCCTCCTCTGCGAGTCAGCCTTGTCCTCGCAGCTGCTCCCTTCCCAGGGTCAAGAACGCGGCAGCAGGCTCCGGCCTTGCCCCTCACACCCCTTCCACAGGCCAAGAGACCACCTCTGCTCAGCCCGCCAGTGTGATTCACTCTGGTTTTCCTGGCGTGGGAGAAATGCCTGCCACCCTTATCCGGTCACGTTAACCCAGGCATGTGACATGCTGATGGCCGGCCAGGTGCAGCCATCATCCCCAGAACGGATGGCACCTCCACACAGAAGCCAGGGCATCGGGAAGGGGAGCGGGCTGGGAGCGGAGGCTGAGTCTGCGGGGCCTGGGGGCACAGAAAGGCCCCTGAGAGTTTGCCAGGCACCTCGCTCCCTCCACCCGGGACATTACATCCGGGTGTGGGTGGGTGGGACTGGGACGGCCCTGGCTGGCCCTCCCCCGGGTCTCACCGCATTCTTCTCTTCTTGTCTCCAGACAGAGACTACTGCAGCCTGTGTGACAAGCAGCCGATCGGGAGGCTGCTCTTCCGGCAGTTCTGTGAAACGAGACCGGGGCTGGAGTGCTACATCCAGTTTCTGGACTCCGTGGTAAGTCCCCGGTCCCGGGGGGAGGAGGGCCCTGGGTCCCGGGGGATCAGCGATCGCGTTTGCCCAACGAAAACGCTGGGCCGTGTGGCTTGGAAGGGCGTGGCGACCAGAATGGCTGCTCAGGAAACTTCCGTGCAGACAGGCGTGTCCTCTCCAGGTCTGCACCCCGGGCGGCCGCGGGTGGCCATCTCCCCGCCGGGCCCCATTCCTGCTGCTTTAACAGGAGGCCCTGCCAGCTCCCTCATTCCGGGGCCTGGGCTGCGCACGACTGCACTGGGGATGCTGTGTGGTTGTCCCAACACCCCGAGGTCATGCTGGAACCCCATTGTCTAAAAGTCCAAAGTTCGTGGTCATAGACTTGTTTCCTGTCTACTGCCCACTAGGAAGCAAGCTCCCTGAGGCCAGGACCCTGGCTCCGGGTCCCCCCTGCCTCACACAGAGCCCAGCCCACTCTGGCATCCAGCAGGTGTGTGTGCACTGAACGCGTGTTGGCGGTTTCCAGCTTGTCTGACAGCTGCTGGCACATGGGCCGTGATTCCCACCACGGGGGCCGCCTGCCCCTGTTCTGGCCGCTCACCTGCACAGCAGATGTGAGGGACCGCAGGCAGGGATGCGCAGGAGCTCCTCCGCCTGGCCTCTGCCCCCAGGTTCCCAACTGGCTGCAGCCATCCCACCGCTGTCTTGGTGTAGGGAACGGCCCCGTAGGGCCTACGGTTCTGTGTCTTCTCCCGGGTCTCGCTGTGGCCCTCTGGACCACAAACCCAACTGCCCATTGACGGTCTCCACGGGACCCTCAACGTCAGCATGTGCTAAACAAGTGGTGGGCAAACCATGGCTCGTGGGCCATAGGCAGCTCTTTGGCCCCTTGAGTGTGGCTCTTCCACAAAATACCACGGCCTGGGCGAGTCTATTTTGAAGAAGTGGCATTAGGAGAAGTTTAAGTTTAAAAAATTTGGCTCTCCAAAGAAATTCCAGTTGTTGTACTGTTGATATTGGCTCTGTTGACTGATGAGTTTGCCGACCGCTATCCTAAACACCCAGAACTTCTCCCCAGACCCCCCAAACTACCAGCCCTGACTCGTTCCCTGGGCCAGTAACCAGTCACCCAAGCCTGAATCCTTTGCATCGTCCTTGATCTCTCCTTCTCCCTCCTCCTTTCTCCCACCCGATCAAGGACCCTGTGCAGGGCTCCTGGATCCTCCCAGACCGGCGCCCTCCCCTCCATGGCCTCCGTCCTGGTCTTAGTGCAGGTTCTCTGCGTGTCTGCTGTAAGCAATTTCAGCGTTCTCCACCTTGGCTGAGCAGTAGAAACACCCGGGGAGCCTTAAAAAAAATACCAGCGCGCGAACGGAAGCCCAGACTCCACAGTGTGTTTCTCTGGGGGGGTGGGGCCTGGCATTTTCATGGCTTTTTATTGTGGAAAATGTCAAGCTAGAAAGGTAAGAGCCTACGGAGTGGGTTAACGAGCCCCCACGCTTCCTTCACCCACTTCAGCAAGGTTGAACTCAAGGCCAGTCTTTTCCGCCCACCTCCGCGCCTCCGTGGCGTTCTGTAGCAGATCTCACATGTATTATTTTATCTGTGAACATTGCAGATGGGTCTCCAAACGAAAAGGGCTCTTTTAACGAAGATATAACCGCAATACCATTACCATAACTCAAATATTATTATCCCCTATTACCCACTATTAGTCCGTACTCCCACGTCTGGCTCCCCCTGGTTTATAAATGCCCGTGTTAGCGGTTGACAGCCGTCTCCCTCGTCCACCCAGAACAGAGCCCTGTGGTCGGAATGCTGCGTGCTCCCCCCCACGTGGCATTTAACAGGCTCCTCTGTGTTCCTTGTGAATTGCTCAGTAATCAGGCCCATTTCAGCTGGAGGGAGGGGACTGACTGCCTAAGTGGCTTTGAGTTGCTCTGTCAGGGGTCATATACTCTCTGGTTGTCCTTCCTGACGCTGCAGCAGCCGTGAGAACACCCAGCCCTGGCCGGTTTGGCTCAGTGGATAGAGCGTCGTCGGCCTGTGGACCAGAGGATCCCAGGTTCGATCCCAGTCAAGGGCACCTATCTTGGTTGCAGACTCCATCCCTGACCCTGATCAGGGCACGTGCATCCATGTGTCTGTCTCACATCAATGTTTCTTTCTCTCTGTCTTTCCCGCTCTCTTCCACTCTCTCTAAAAATCAATGGAAAATACCCTCCGGTGAGGACTGACAACAGAAAAATGAAGTGCTGATATTCAGTACCCAAATCTGTTGATGAATGAGGGGTGACACCATGGCGACATCCTGAGTCTGTCGTCCCTTCATTTGCTAACTGGGAAACACGTTCGATGACTACCTGGTCACCCAGTGGTCAAGTTCATACAGGAAGTGCTTTATTCCTTTCCTGGTTTCGTGTTTTCAAGTACCCACCGGCTCCCTGGCAGTGACGGGCTCACGGGGTGCGTTCTGGTGCACAGCGGGCACTGGTGTGGATGGTCTCCTCGTTGGCCAGTGGGAGCCCTTCGGGTTGGCTGCTGGGCCCTTGGAGGACACGGTGATCGCGGCGGCCCCCTGGCCATCTGCTGCCGTGTGGTGGCAGCTCAGCCGGTGCTTCCTGTCCCACGCCTGGAGCTCCTGGTGTCTCCAAGGAGCCCTGGCTCCGCTGTCTGGGGAATGGACTGGAGACCGCGTGGCATTTGTAACATTTCCCGACTGCACCGCGCGTCCAGGCGTGGGAAGCATTGCATCCAGGACACCGTCTGAGTTCTGACCCTGATGTACCAGACCTCCTACCAACAGGCCCTGCCCGCCCTCTCGTCCTCCACCTCCCGGGTCTTGCCGGGCCCTGAATTCTGGCCCTGCCCCTGTTGGCCGGGGCTCCTTCTTGCCAGGATGGTCAAGTCTCTCAGTCCCAGCAGGAGTGGAGGGAGCAGGGAGAGGTGTCAGTCATGCCAGACCTGTGCCGCTAAAGAACTTGTAGTGACATGGGGCACTGGAGGGCTCTGAGCAGAGCAGGGGCGTGGTCTGAGGTCGGTTTTTAAAGGATTCTCTGACTCTGTGATGGGAACAGGCCATGAGGGGCCGGGGCGGGAGCTGGGAGCTCTGGTTAGGGGCGGCTGCCGTCCAGGTGAGAGCTGATGGCGGCCCAGCCACGTGGCAGCATCTGGCAGTGGTGAGCGTGGTTGGATTTGGGGCATGTTTTGAAAGCAGAGTTAACAGTGTTTCTTTTTTTTTTTAATTCTTACCCGAAGATATGTTTTGCTGATTTTTAGAGCGAGACGAAAGGAGAGAGAGAGAGAGAGAGAGAGACATCAATGTGAGAGAAGCATCTATCATCTGCCTCCTGTATGCACCCTGACCAGGGACGGAACCGTAACCTTTGGGTGTACAAGATGACGCTCCTACCAACGGAGCTGGTAGGAAGGGACCTCCCTCGTATGTGCCCTTTGATCAGAATCAAACCCGGGTCCCTTTGGTCCACAGGCTGATGCTCTATCCACCGAGCCAGGGCAAGTATGTCCATATTTCCAAGTATGTCTGGCCCGGGCAAGAGTTCACAGTGTTTCTGATGTATTGGTGGGTGAGAGAGAAAATGTACAGATGACTTAAAAGTGTTGACCAGAGCCACCGGAAGGATGGGGTCAGAGGGTGGCTGAGGGCGGCTCGTTGGGTACACTGAGCTAGAGACGCCCATCAGACATCCAAGTGCGAGGGAGGTATGTGTTCGAGCCTGAACGGGGGAGTTGTCCCCGCACAGCGAGTGCTCAGAGCCGTGGGCGGGGTGGGCTCACCACGGAGACGCATGTGGATGGAGAGGGCACGGACCCCGAGGGCGAGCCCGGGACCCGGGCGCCCCCTTGGGGAAGACGCCTTTGCGTCCGCAGCCGTGGGACCAGTCTGGAGTTGATGAGGCGGAGCCGGCGAGGCTAACCCAGGAGCCAGTGGAATTTTCCAGCCACGGGTCTCGTCAGATGCTCAGTTTGAGGAGAAGAAAACAGCCCACGGATGCCCAGGCCCCTTCTCATCCTGCAGACGCCCCTGCGGCCGGGCCGGCTCCGGGGTTTTCAGTTGGAAGGGAGACGTGAGCGTGGCTCCCGGTGTCGACATGACAGATGCTCTTTACGCACGCCCTGACCGAGCTGCCACCCAGGGAGGCCGCCCGGCTCCCCGGTCCTGTCCGCCTCTCCCGGAGCCGGCGGGGCCTTTCCATCGCCCATCGTGACGTCAAGCGGCCGCCTCTGGGAACACCTTTGACGCATGAAGCCGTTGTTGAGTTTTCCAGGGCTGGCGTGATGCTCGTCTGGAATACGTGGGGGTTTTTTATTTTCCTTCCTTCCATCCGGACGGGAACTCCGAGGAGGGAGAGGGTGGCATTGCCCTGCGCGTCGCATGCCGCCCAGTGCCAGTGCCCCCTGGCTCAGCCGGCGCTGTCCTCACCGTGCCCACCTCTCGCCCGAATTTCTGCCAAGTGCAGTTTATTAAAAATAACCCGTCCTGTCGGGCTCTGACCTCGCCCTCGGGAAAGGCTGGTCCTCGTCTCGAATCCGCAGGAGACGGGCGGCTTCAGAGCGGGGCCCCGGGGCTGGGGGCAGCAGAACTGTCTGTGCACCTGCTCAGACCGCAGGGTGACTCAGCCTTCACCGTGCTTGTCCAGGGGCTCCCAGGACCCTGAGAAGGACGACCCCCTCCCCTTCCCACCAAGAAATAGAGTCAGTGGCCTAAATGAGGGCTATGGCTAGATTTGGCTCCTGGAGGGCAAAGAGGATCAGAAAGAGTTCCAGTTGCCATGGACTTCTTAAAAATGGACATACTTGCCCTGGCTCGGTGGATGGAGTCAGCCGTGGTCCCGGGTTTGATTCTGGTCAAGGGCACATGCCTTGGTTGCAGGCTCCTCCCCAGCCCGGGCCCCGGTCAGGGCATGTGAGGGAGGCAACCAATTGATGTGTTTCTCTCACATAGATGTTTGTCTCTTGGCCTTTCCCTCTCTCTTCCACCCTTCTTAAAAAGATCAATAGAAAAATATCCCCCCGGGAGGATTAACAACAACAACAACAACAAAACGGATGACCTTGCCCTGGTTGGCGTGGCTCTGTCGGGCATTGTCCCATGCACCAAGAAGTTGCCGGTTCAATTCCCAGTCAGGGCACAGGCCCGGGTTGCCGGCTCGATTCCCAGTGGGGGGCCTGCAGGAGGCAGTCGATCAGTGTTCTACTCTCACATTGATGTTTCTCGCTCCCTCTTCCTCTGTCTCTAAAGATCAATAGAAATGTTTTTTTTAAATGGACATGCTTCTTCTCTAACCTATTTTCTGGGAGTCTCATGGCCTCTGAGCTCTGTTGGCATCCTGCCATGCCCACACTCAGGGCCCTACTCAGGTGTGTCTTAGTGATCGAGCTTCGCCCTATGAAACAGGGGGTCATGGTTGATTCCTGATCAGTGGGGGCCTACAGGAGGCAGCCAATCCATGGTTCTCTCTCATCATTGATGCTTCTATCTCTCTCTCCCTCTCCCTTCCTCCCTGAAATCAATAAAAAACGTATTTATTTAAAAGAGGGGGGAGGTGCAGGAACCATGGTGTCCAGGCCGGGGAGCCAGCAGCAAGGTGGGGAGTGGCTCTGGAGGGGCAACTAGAGAGTCCCCTCCCCCAGCCACATGGTCAGCACAGGCAGGACACCAAGGCCAACAGGGCAGAGCGGGTATTTCTCCAGAAAGGGCCATGGCGAGCACCGCTGCCAACCAGCACGTCACTGGTCCCTGCTGTGAGGACTGGAAAAGCTGACCACATCGGTGATTACAGAGCCGGAGGGGCCAGACCTCATAGCATCTCTGACTTCACCTTCCTGTCAGGGCACCAGAAGGTCTCCCGGGAGAAGGAGGTGAAGCTGAAGCTAGAGGCTAAGAGAGTTCCATCCAGCTTGCGAGCGCGCGCACGCGCACGCTCTCTCTCTGTCTCTCTCTGTCTCTCTCTCTTTCTTATATATATATTTATGGGGGGTTGGGGGAGAGAGAGAGAGAGAGAGAGAGGGAAATATCAATGATCAATTGGCTGCCTCCTGCACACCCCGCACTGCAGATCGAGCCAGCAACTCCAGGCATGTGCCCCGGCCAGGAATCAAACTCTGACCTCCCAGTTCACAGGTCAATTCACAACCACTGAGCCATGCCAGCCGGCCTGACACTCCGCTCTTTAAACCAGTTTAATTGAAAACATGGAGGTCCCTTCCTACCAGCTCTCAAACACCCTCTGAGGAAGCGTGTCTTACGAGAAAGGACCTATTTCACCGCGTCCTCTGAGGTCGGTGGTTCAGTAGGAACAGGCCGGGAGAGGGATGCGTTAGCTTATAACCGAGGACGCACACAGGTCCTGTTCTCTCTCCAGCCGCAGGTACATACACAGCCCCTTTTGCCTTCAGCGCAGGGTAGCGTTTCGCTCTCTGTGTTGGAGCAGCATCTTCTTCCCACAGGGCACTCGCTTGTGGCATAAACCCCAGTGCCAAGAGCGGGTGCCTCCGTCAGCGGGCACCTCGATGTATCTGGGGAAGAGAAATGCTCTCCGAGTGGACGGGCCTGGGTGCCCTTTGGGGCCCTGGCTGTTAGAGCTGAGCTGTGGGCAGCAGCTGGTTTCCTGTGGGAATTCCTGCAGAGAGAACGGTGTGTGTCCCCTCAGTGGGGGTGGGGACAGGTCCCAGCACCCTCTCTGGCAGGAGGGAGTTCCGCCGTTTCCCTGCCAGCTCTCATGGTGATGGCCTAGGCTGGCGGCCCCACCTCTCCTCTGCTGCTTATGGCTTCCGGTGGAGGGTGATTTCTGCAGCTTTCGCCCACTACCCGGGCACATGTGTGCCCACGGCAGCGGGTTTCCGGGGGGGAGGGGGGCACCCCCTGCCTCAGGTGGTGGGAGCTGCCTGGGCTCTGCCCACAGTGGAGCAGCCAGGGGCCTCCTCTCTGCAGGTGGCCTCTTAGGACATGGCTCCCATGAGCCCCTCCTGGTGTGTGTGTGTTGGGGGGGGTGGTGTCACTGAGGAGACAAGGCTGTCACTCCAGGAGACCTAATCAGCGTGGAAAGCCCACCGGGAGCCGCCGCTGGTTTGCTGCCTCCCGACACAAATCTCTGCAGGCGGCGGTGACCTGACGTGGACTCCGGGAGAAAGGCCTTTTGATCCCGGCCGGGATGCTGTCCCCGCGTGCTCCCGGCTGCCTCCCTGTGGAACGGCGGCGCCCGCCGCCCGCCAGGCCCTGCTGGGAGGCAGCTGACCTGACAGCGATGTTATTTTGTTTTCACGTGGGTTTGGATACACACCGAGAGCAGGGATATGCTCAGCCGGCTATTGAGGCTGATTAGTGAGTCTCAGGTCTCCGAGAGGTTAAATAGAGCCGTCTTCACCGATGTATTTTGGGACGGTGCAAATCCAGGGTTTTGCATGGGATTGAGTTACCCCAAAAGGTGGTCTGGGCCTTGCAAAGCAGTCTGGGTAAATTCCCCATGGTGCCAGACCACCAGGCGGGGCGTCCAGAGCAGCAGACACGGGGTGCTTCTCTCCTCACCCTGGAAAAGCGGGGTCCGTTGTACTCCAGACTCAGCTCCGAGCCCTGTTGCTTGCCGGCTTCATTGCATTTGAACTAGTTGTGTTTGGCCTCAGTTTCTTCATCTGTAAATTGGGAATAATAATACCCACCTCTCAGGGTGAGTCTAATATACTCCATACTGTGTGGAGGTGTGTGCTCACATGAGTATCAGTTTGGGGGATTGTTGGGGAGCATAGAGTGAGAAGGAAACAGGAAAAACTCAAGAATAAAGAGCTACCTTCTCTCCTTAAGTGGTCTCAGGACATCATGAATCAAATCATTAAGAAATGACCAGGCTCATCCTAATGGTGAGGGCCATTGGCCTTCGAAGAGGAGAGGGGCAGAGGCCAGGGCCCCCCAGAGGTCAGGAGGACGGTGCTCTGTGCTGGCTGCGCTGCGTCCAGCTGTGTGACCTCAGGCCAGGCCTTGACCTCTCTGAGCCTCGTGTCCAGCCTGCAGAGCAAGTGGCTCGGATTCCTCCAGACCCACCATCCCATCGTCCTGTGTCTCCAAGGACTGTTGTGTCCATGTTTCTTCCTCGGAGAAAGCCATTGCATCTTGGCCCTCCGTTAGAAGAGGCACAGTCATGCGCGGACACTCACTCACTCCGGATGGAAACGTGCCTGGCCGCCGCTGTGGGCGTCCCCAAGGCTGTCTGCACCTCCCTTTTCCTGGGAGGGTCTCTGGGGGGCCTGGGAGACACTGGCCTAGCCACGGGGTCCAGAGGTCGCCTTGAACCAGGGCAGGAAGGCCTGGGGCATCTAACTCTGCAGAGGGGCAGCCAAAGTGGGGAGGCGTTCTGTCGTCTGTGCTGACGTCCTTGTCTCTGCCTCCTCTGGAATAGCTGTGCTTTGGGGCCGAGATTGACAAATCCTCGAGCGGGAGGTGGTGTTGACATGGCTGTAAACAACGTGGTCAGCTCCCCCGTCCACACGGGAAAGGCGGCTCCCGCGGGCTTCTGGTCAGCTCCAGGCTCTCAGGCGCTTGGCAAGGGCGCCAGGGCGGTGACGGAGCCCCTGGGGGTCCAGGGGAATGAAAAGGCTCCCCTTTCTGAGGCCTCGCTCCCTCAGGGCCGGGGCCCACTGGCTGGGTCTGCTGCCTCGGGTTCTAAATTCCCGGGTGGTGTTGACAAAGTGCTCTGGGCTGGGAGGGCCACGTCCCGGCCCTGCCACCTCCCCTGGGCAACCCCATGGAACCCCCCTCCACCACCCCTGCTCTTCACAGGCAGAGGAAGGGGGTAGGGGAGCCCCGCCCTCCCCCTCGTTTCCTGGGCTCTTTGGAGGTTCCGATAGGAGCATCTGAAAAACTGTGTCCTCTGGCGAAGTGTGGTCCTAACAACAGCCACCCTGATGGCAGCTGTTAACTGAGTGTTTACTACCCTGTTTCCCCGAAAATAAGACAGTGTCTCATATTAATTTTTTCTCCCAAAGTTGCGCTTGGTCTTATTTTCAGGGGATGTCTTATTTTCGGGGAAAACGCGGGTATGTGCCCCGCTCTGGGCTAAGAGCTTTCTCCCGTTCTCGCCGCACAGAGTCCCTGTGAGTCCGTGCTTTTTCCGTGTGCATCTCGCAGAGGTCAAGGACGCTGTCTCAGGTCACCCAGCCTGGAAGGTCCGAGTGGCCAGAGGCGGCCGCTCGGGGGTGGGCCTCCCGCTTCGGTGGCTTGTTATTTTCCAGTGACTTCCTTTGATTTGTCTGCGCCCGCCCATGATTCTCAGCCCTGCTTCCTGGCATCTCAGCCTCGGCCGCCTGGATGCCTGGCCCTTGTCGCCAGAAGGTCTGACCGGGGTGGGGCGGGTGAGGCCCGGGCACAGCGCTGGCTCCCCAGGGGTTCTGACGTGCAGCCCGGAGGAGAGCCGCTGCCCCGGGCACGTGTCCACGCTGGTGCGGAGCAGGCTGGATGGGGTGGCGGGCCCCCTGCCTCCCAGGGCCTCGGCTCCCTGCCCTGTAGAAGGGGACGGGCTGCTCCAGGGAGTCTCCTTCTGGGGCCCCAGAGGTTCTGTGACTCCAAGAGGCTCGTGAGCAAATCTCTCACTGTTCTTTTTCCTCCTTCCGTTTCAGGCAGAATATGAAGTTACTCCAGATGAAAAGCTGGGCGAAAAAGGGAAGGAAATTCTGACCAAGTACCTCACCCCTAAGGTAAGAGGCTGCCCACACCCACGGCCGGAGGCCTGGGGGCCTGGCCCAGGAGCATGGGCCCCAGGTCTGTGCTGGGCCGTGGCCGCCATGGGTCTCCAGAGACCCAGGATCTTCATCCTTCCCCAGAGAGTGCCCATGCCTGGCAGGACCAACACGGGTGCCCAGGCCAGCAGGGGGTTGTGAGGGTTCGTGTGGCAGGGAAGGGTTTGGGGGAGATGGGAGGGGAAGTGGCCGAGGCTGTGTTGGCAAAGGCGATGCTAGTGGAGCACATAACAGACTGCAGAGTGTTCTGAAGCAGGTTCTGGAGCACACTGAGCGTGCGGGGCCGCCCTGACCCCACCTCAGGAGCACCCCGTGGTGGCTGAAGGGAGAGAGGCAGTGCCAGCCCCTTCCATTCCTCCCCCCAGGGCCCTGGCCGCCTTGGTCTTTGGAACTTGTGTCTTCTTTCCCCCACTTGACAGATCAATGTGCCCACGTCAGAGGAGCTGGCCTGGGCGGGGGCTGGGTTTCCATCCCAGCTCTGCCAGCCACGCCGTCCTGTTTCCTCTGGGCCTCCGATTCCCTTACTTAGACGTGGCCGTTCCCCCAGACCCGCCTCCCGGAGGCACTGAGCGCCTGCCATGGGACCAGCACGCGGACAGCTTTGTGTGCGTCCTGCATCCTGTGGGCAGCGGGGCCTCATCCTCCCCCGGGACCCGGACTCTGTGGGCGCCAGCCCCCCGGGAAGCTCGCTCCTCACGCCCAGGCCGCTGGCGGAGTAAGGGCACCGTGGCCTGTGGGATGGGGTCCTGGCTGCCCACCCACCACACCATGTGGCCGGGGCGGCCACACACAGGCACGGAGGCCGGGAAACCGCCCCCTCCTGACGCCCACGAGACCTTGGCTGCCCTCTGCCCCGGCCTCGGTGTTCTCTGCTGTGAAACGGGTGAGGCTTGGGCCGTACATGGCAGAGGGTCCCTGCACACTGGACAGCCACAGACTCTGCCGCCTCCCAGCCCACACCGAGGGAAGGACGGGCTGTTCACAAGGCGGGAACCAGGCGAGAAAGCAGAGGAGACGCTTCCAGGCAGGGAGAGGCGTGTGTTGCGGGTGGGACACGGAGACTCCCAGGGTGTGACCTTTGCCCCCTGACCCACCTCAGAGTATTAATCAGTTGACCCTTAATTAGCTTGACTCCGAAGGCCCTCCCTGCCCACCACCTGGGGTGCTAACCCCGGGGCCCGTGTCCGTGGGCGACAGCACTGAGGCCGGGGCAGCCTGGTCCCCGGGCGGAAGCCACTGGGGAGACGGGGAGTGGGGGGGGGAGGTGGACAGGATCCAGGCCACGTGCAGCAGCGCCCCCAGCAGCAGCTGGGCTGCTGACAGCCTGCAGCCCCTGGTGAAGGCGTCTGTGGGACTCCAGGGGGTTAACCCACAGCAGCCCCTTCACCCCGGGGCTTTGAGGAGGACAGCTCACCGGCTGGGCGCCTACGGGAGCCAGACGCCACCCCGACGTTCTCTGTGATGGAGTGCGGCCCCCGGAGAGAGACGAGGGACAGACGGCCGGCGCACAGGCTGAGCGGCCGGGAGCAGGGAGCCTGCCGCAGGTGCAGCCGATGGGACAGAGCAGGCCGCTTCCGCGGCGGCTCAGCTCTGCCCACCTGCCTGAGCTCCCTGCAGGCAGTGCCGCCATGCTGTCCTGAGGACCCACTGTGTGCCGGCGCCATCCCTTAGTCTTTGCGGTCACGTGTGAGGTGCTGCTGTTGGCTCCGCCTTAGGAGGAGGGCGGGAGGCTCCTGACCGGCTGTCCCTGTCCGGGGTCACTCAGCCGGGATTGAGCCCGGCTTGGGTGACCCAGGAGCCCGGGTCCCCTGTGGTGCACTGTTTTCCACGCCTGCAGCCTGGCTGAGCTCAGCGATGATAAAGAAGGGGCTCTTTGCCTGGCCTCGCCGACTCCCTCTGCCTCTCTGAGGGCTGCCGTGGGCTACCTCTCTCTCCACCTGGCCAGCCTCATCCCCAGCCTCTGCCAGGGGACCCCCAGGCGGGGCCCTCCAGGCCGCCTCCCGCTCCGGGCAGGCAGCCCAGCCCCCCGCAGCTCAGACAGCTCTGCACAGGCCTGAGCCGCCAAGCAGGTCCCTCTCACGTGCGCCTCGGTTTCTAACGTTTAAACTGCACACATGTTATGGCCCGGGGCTGGGGCCGACTATTTTCCGACAATAAATTCTGCGCCGCTTTCCCGGCCTTCCTGTGGCTGCTCTCCCGGGAGCCGGCTTCCCTCTCGGCCCCTCAGACGCCCCGGGTGCTGGGGAGCGAGGGGCGGCCAGTGGCTGAGGCTGTGGTCCCCAAGCCCAGGTGGTCCGTGCCTCGGGTTTCTCAAGATGCAGCTCAGGTGCCTCGGCTCCAGGGGCCATTTTCCAAGGCGGGGGTGGCGGGAGGAGACTGACCCAGGAAACACCTCTGTGACCCAGCTCTGTGGTCAGCAAAGCGCGGCTCTTGAGCCACATGTGGCTCTTCGGCCCCTTGAGTGTGGCTCTTCCACAAAATACCACGGCCTGGGCGGGTCTATGTTGAAGACGTGGCGTGAGAAGTTTACGTTTAAAAAACGTGGCTCTCAAAAAGAATTTCAATCATTGTGCTGTTGTTAGTTGGCTCTGTTGACTAACGAGTTTGCCGATCCCTGCCCTAGGCCACCTGTCAGCAGGGCCGAGGCTAAGAATCCGGGTGTAGAGGTGAGGCAGGTGTGGGAGTCAGTGTTGCAGGGTGGGAGGTAGAGGGGCCGCGCTCTGTGACCTAGCCCCGTGTCCTCACCCCCTAGCCCCGCAGCTGAAAGCATTGTCTGTGTGGCAGGCCGGTCTCTGAGCTGCTGAGACGGCCAGGAGCATGGCACTTCTTTTTTTTTTTTTTTTTTTTTTAATATTTTTATTGATTTCAGAGAGGAAGGGAGAGGGGGAGAGAGAAACATCAGTGATGAGAGAGAATCATTGATGGGCTGCCTCCTACACACCCCCTACTGGGGATCAAGCCTGCAGCCCAGGCATGTACCCTGATCAGGAATCGAACCGTGACCTCCTGGTTCATAGGTCGACGCTCAACCACTGAGCCAGGCCTGCGGGGCAGCAGGCCATGTCTCACAGCTATTCTCCGGTGTGTCAGCTCAGAGGAGCTGCCCAGGGGCCCCCGGATGGAATCAGACACGTGTGCTGGGCTCTGTAGGGATCTAGGCACCTCACCCACAAGGTGCCTGCAGATTGGAGCGATACGGGTGACAGGTGTTCAGCGGCAGGGCTGCTCTGGGCTGGGAAACATGGATAACAATAATAAATGACCCTGAAAGCAGTATTCTATGCTGTGATCATTCATCACTACAGACTTCACTTTGAAGTACTGGCTGTAGGGAGGTATCATGCACATACCGTAAAATACACCCTCTCAAAGAGTACAGTTCACTGGTTTTTAAAATGTCCGGAGTTGTACAGCGTGCACCATTATCTGATTCCAGGACATCTTATCAGCCCCGATAGAAGCTCTGCTCCTATTAGCAGCCTCTCTCTTTCCCTTTTCCTCCCAGCCTCTGGCAACCACTCCTCTGTATTCTGTTTCTATGGATTTGCCTCTGATGGACATTTCACACAGATAGAATCAGACAATGTATGGACTTTTGTGACTGACTTCTTTCCCTTAGCGTGTCTTCACGGTGCATCCATGCTGTGGAGCGTGTCAGTACCTCCTTCCTTTACGTGGCTGAATAGTGTTCCATTGTGTGGGTAACACATTTTATTTATCTTCCCATCAATCGACGGGTAGATTGAGTTGTTTCTGCTTTTTAGCTATTATGAATAATGCGGCTAGGAGCATTCATGCACAAGTTTTTGCATGGACCTATGTCTTCATTTCTTTGGGGATACACCTAGGAGTGAAATTGAGGGTTACATGGTAACTTGATGTTTAATCACTTGGGTACCTGATTAAAAAGTTTTCAAAGTGGCTGCACAGTTGGCATTCCCACCGGCAGTGTATGAAAGGTCCTCTTTCTCTGCATCCTCCTCCACACTTGACATTTCTGTCTTTTTCATTCTATGCATCCTAAAAGGTGCAAAGTGGTACCTCACTGTGGTTTGATTTGCATATCCCTAAGGACTAATGATGTGGAACGCCTTTTCATGTGCTTAGCGGCCATTTCTCTGTCTTCTGTGGGGAAATGTCTACGCAAATCCTTGGTCCCGGTTTAAGATGGGATTGCTCATCTTCCTCGTGTTGAATTTTAAGAGTTCTTTGTATGTTCTAGATACAACTTCCTTATCAGATCAGTGACTTGCAGACATTTTCTCCCATTCTGTGGGTTGTCTTTTTACTTTCTTGGCAGTATCGTTGGAAGGATAAAGATTTTAGATTTTTATGAAATTTGGATTGTTTTTTTTTACTTGTTTTTACTTTGTCTTACCTGTCCTTGTAAGAAGGCCTTGCTTTGGGAGGGAGCAGGGTGTGTATGGGGACAAAGTAAACAAATGGTAGTGCACGTAGGACAAGCCCAGGAATCTGTCTTTCTTTCTTTTTTTCTTTTTTAAATATATTTTGCTGATTTTTTACAGAGAGGAAGGAAGAGAGATAGAGAGTTAGAAACATCAATGAGAGAAAGTCATCGATCAGCTGCCTCTTCCACACCCCCTACTGGGGATGTGCCCGCAACCAACGTACATGCCCTTGACTGGAATCGAACCCAGGACCCTTCAGTCTGCAGACTGACGCTCTATCCACTGAGCCAAACCGGTTTCAGCAGGAATCTGTCTTTCTGTGGAGAACCAAAGCCCAATGGCCTGCTGGGAATACTTGGGCCAGACCTGCTCCTTCAGCAATATTCCCGCCCTTCTCCTAGTTGACATGACAGTCTTCTTTAGGCCGTCTGTGTCCAGCACTGCCATGCCATCTTACACGCCTGTTCCTGGATCTCCCTAAAATGGGTATGAGTGTGCCCATTTTTACACATCAGGCAACCGAGGTTGGGGAAGGCAAGAGGCTGATTT